ACCGCTGATTACAGAACCGGCTTTTCTGACAAGATGCGCGTTAAATAACGCATGCGATTTATCGTGCAGACATAATATATTTATGGTAGGAAATTAACAAAATATCTTCATGGAACATAATCTTTATTTAGTATCGTAATGATTTTTGGCATAAACGAAAAATCGATAATTTTGACCCATACAATGTATTGTTGGCTATTGCTACAAATATACGCGTGCTACTTATGACTGGTTATGTGGTCCAGGGTCACATCTATTACACATCTATACACACACACAGATTATGTATATACATACAAACCCAATTCCAAAAAAGTTGGGACACTGTACAAATTGTGAGTAAAAAAGGAATGGAATAATCTATGCAAGTATAGCCTAAATCACAGCACAACTATTGTCTTTATCTTATGTGTAGCCTATTTGATTTCATCAGATGACAGCTTGATTATAAATCAGGATTTTTGTGCAGATTAACATCTTGGAAGGGAGAGCTGGTTATGTGGTCTTAATGGGTCACGTTTCAGTTACCATTTGATATTAATTCGGTTGTCTGACAAGAGAAAGAGCTAAATATATCAATGTTTTATCAGTTTTATTGAGAATTTAGCTGCATCAAAATATAGTATGTGGGCACAGAGAGGCAAACAAATGTAATAATAAATAATAAATGTACATTTTGCATGTTCAGAAGAAGTGAGCTGCCCTGTTCTGCAAATAATGTAAACAGGCTTGTGTAAGTAAATTGCTCAGGGCAAGGAAAGAGAAGTAATGGGAACCTGGTATTTCTGTTATTTTTTCATGTGTCTAATAGACATGAACAAGTTCTTTGAAAAACATCCATGACCTTTGAAACATGTCTAGACTTCATGCTCTATGTTGACTATGGTTTTACTAATAATAAACATACATTTGCATAAAGCATCCATATTTGTCCATGCCCTTGTTGATTAGAGTATTAAAAACTTGAAAAGTATTAATTTACGATACATTTAGAACAGATAAAATGGTGCGATTAATCGCGATGGAATATTTTAATCGATTGACAGCCCTAATATATATATATATATATATATATATATATATCTTTGTGTGTGTTTTCAGGAATTATTACTTCTATTCAGCAAGGTCACATTAAATTGATCAAAAATGACAGTAAAAATATTTGTAATGTTACCAAAAACTTCTGTTTCAAATAAATGCTGTTCTTTTGAACCTTCAATTCATCAAATAATCCTAATAAAAGTATCAAAATAATAATTAAGTATTTATTTAATATTAAGCTGCTCAACTGTTTTCAACATTGTGAATAATAATAATAATAATGATAATAATAATAAAATGTTTCTTGCACACCAAATCAGCATATTAGAATAATTTCTGAAGGATCTTGTGACAATGAAGACTGGAGTAATGGTAGCTGAAAATCCATCTTTGTTAAAATATATTACAATATAAATCAGTTCTTTTAAACTATAATAATATTTCACAATAATACTGTTTTTACTGTTTCATTTACTGTTCTTTTCTTCGAAAACATTAAAAATACCAACCACACACTTTGGAAAGATAGTATATATTATAAGTATTTTTATCTCATTTCTAGGAGAAATATTAATTACTTCGTTAACTTAAAATGACTTCAGATATCTAACAGATATTTTTAGACTTTTATCGATTTTTATGTTGGTGGCCAAAGCGTTGATGGTATCCACCGACAGAAAAAAAAAACCTACTATGAAAGTCAAAGGCATTTTTTGGTTACCAAAGTTTTTCAAAAGATCTTCTTTTATGTTCAACAAAAGAAAGATACTAGTGCATATTTAGAACAACTTGAAGGTGGATAAATGATGACAACATTTTCATTTTAAGTGAACTTATTCCTTTAAAGAAGAAGAAGAAAGAAAAAACGATTTGTCTGCAGTGTGGAAAGAAAAATAAACTTTCTTACTGGCTACTGAAAATGGACATTGTTTCCGCTTAGTTCAGTGAGGGACATAAGCTGCAAAAGTTCTTGTCATAGTTTTGGTACTCTTAAGATCTATCTCCATGACTGATCTGGACTGGGAAGTTACAGCTGTAGAACTTCCAACTGCTTCATTGGTTCATGTTACCCAAAGCATTCAACCGCATCTCGACCCCTCAAAGTGGCCCGTCTGTGAAGCGCCTCCACTGCACACAGTCTCAGGGGACAGCAAGACCGTGGGTCTTCATGAAAGGGTAGCATAAAGAGGAGCGCTGGGTTTTGGGTCATAAGGGAGCTCTAGAGCTCTGTGTGCTTATTATAACCCTTATAAATGATGTAAAGTGGCACACCTCAGCCCCCAGGGCTACCCAGACTCCCCCTGGGCAGAAGGGCACAGAGTGCTCTCAAAATCAATACGTCACTTTCTGACTCTATAAACAGTATATAAAGACTCAAACACACTCATGTGCATGTTAACTTACTGAATGAATTCAAGCCATATGTTTATTTATTGTTTTGCTTATTTGTTTATTGCTTTTGGTGGGTCTCAAATATACATACACTACCATTTAAAAGTTTTGGGTCAGCAATATTTTCCATGCTTTTATTCAGAAAGGGTGCATTACATTCAACAAAAGTTCTTTTGAGCTTTTTATTCATCAAAGAGTCCATTTAAAAGTGTCATGTTTCTATGAAAATATTAAGCTGCATAACTATTTTTTGGATTGATAATAATATGAAATGTTTCTTGAGCACCACATTGGCATATTAGAATGATTTCTGAAGGATCATGTGATGCTGAAGACTGGAGTAATGATGCTAAAAATTCAGATTTACCTTCACAGGAATAAACTACATTTTAAGATATACTACAATTGGGGAAAAAAACTGTTTTAAATTATAATAATATTTCACAATATTTCTGTTTTTACTGTATTTTTTGTCAAATAAACACAGCCTTGGTGAGCATGTAAAATACTTACTTTATTTCGACAACATTAATGACATCTTACCAACCCTATACATATTCACAATAATATTTCAATATTTCAGCTGTATTTTTGATCAAATGTGTCCTTGATGAGTGTAAAATACTCTTTTAAAAACATTTTTCCAAACCCAAACAATTCAACTGTATATGTTATTTTGTATATAAAATATATATTTATGTGTAGATATTTTTTAACATTTTATAACACTAGTGCATATCTCACCAGACAGATGTAATCATGCTTGATAGATAATACAGCAAAGTATTTGTCTAAAAGTTTATTCAAACTGTAAAGTTTGTTTAGGTCATTTAAGTAATTTCTTCATATTTCATCAGACTTTTTTCCCCCAGCCTTCCTTCAGTGTGTTGAATTATGTTTGCCGGTATGACTTGTGCTTTGATTTATTCTGAATTCAGTGCCTGTTAGCTACAAACCCAATTCTCAAAGGGGATGCAGCTCCATGGAGGAGTATTCACTAAAGCAGCCATTCTAAACATTACAGTAAATTAACTTATGATAGCTCTAACTACATGTGTATCCTGCTGTTTTTTCTTCACCATCCTTTAAATTTCTCCCATCCAATCAAGCGTAATGACACTCCATATCCTGTTGTTTCTACACACTGAATTTAAATTGTACAAATGCCTTGGTGGGAAAAATAAATATGTTGCTCTGTGATGGTGCTGATGGCGAGAGAGAGAGAAAATGCAGAAACTCTTTAGTAATGTGTGATTTGCTAGGGGCCATTTTGGCTTCGGCCAAACGGTTTGTGCCAAGAGCCAGGATGGCTGCCAGTTTCCCGAACAATTGCAGACACCTGTGATGAATGGCTCAATGATTTGAGCTCCACTGACCCAGCTGCACTTGCATAGGGTTGTGTATGGAGACAAAAAGGCCTGTGAGCAGGAGATAGACTCAGGCTTTAGAAGACACCATGTTGCTTCAGGTCTGTCACAGTAGCATAATTTCAGTTGCCAATAACTATACCAGTATTTCACAATTTGTCATACCATTTTTGATTTTCCATCTATTGAATAAAAACAGCATCTTTTCAACTTGAATATACATACAAATTTAAAATATATAATATTAACGATGATGTATTATTTTTATTATAATTCCGAATTTAATTTAATTTTGATTAGATTTTTTCGTTTTTCTTCAATTTACGTTAGTTAAAATTTAGTTTTTCAGAGTTTTCAGTTTTAGTTTTATATTAGTTTTAGTATTTTAGGGCCGTCAATAACTACACCAGTATTTCACAATACTTGATAACAAAATTTTATTATATATTGAAGAAAAACTTTTTTTAAACTTTAAAATATGAATGATAATATTAATGATAACTTCAAATATAAATATAAATGTAAATTATAAAATAATATCTACACATTTCAGGGTTATTATAAATCAGATTTTGTTTTTTAGTTATTATTATTTTCAGTTTAGTTCCACTCTATCGTCAAGTGTATAAAAATAAATAAAAAAATAAAAAATAAATATATATATAGTTTTTATTTTAGTTTTAGTATTTTAGGGATATCCAAGTTAATATGCTAAATGGTGTCATTTAAAACCAGTTTAAAGGTGTTACATTTCTCTGAAATTTTATAATATGCCATGCAATTAAAGTAAAATTAATTTATGCCTATTTTTATTTCATTGTAGTTTCTTTGGGGGTCATGAAAATGTATTAAAGCTTTTTTTCTCAGTAATGTTTTAAAATTAATTAAGTAATGAACATAGTCTATTAGATATAATTAGTATATAGTTTATTTATTATAGCTGATCTACACCCACTTATAAGCATCAACTTCTGTTTATGTGTGATAATGTGTAATTGGTCTTCGTTAAGATCTATTTCCTTTCTATGTCTCTACTGCATTTGTTGTTGTTTAATGTATTTAAAGTATAAATAAAGTAAACATATATAGAAATACGTTATATATAAAGTATAAACAAAGCATAAAAGATCACTTCAGAGTACTGTGATGTTTGCTGTACACACCTCTGAGCTGCAACCTCTGTTTTGTTTTTGCAGAGAGACATGCTGGACGTCAATCAGATTATGAAGGACTTGGCCAGCATGGTACATGAACAAGGAGACACCATAGGTGAGATCTTGTGTGTGTGTGTGTGTGTGTGTGTGTGTGTGCGCGCATTTTTGTGACAAATGAGGACATAAATTTGTATAATGACACAGGTATGACATAGGTATTACAAGGAGAAGGTGACTTTTCAGGACATTACCCCATGTCCCCACTTTTCAAAACGCTTATAAATCACACAGAATGGAGTGTATTGAAAATCTGAAATAGCACAAATTTTCCTGTAAGGGGTAAGTTTAGGGGTAGGGTTGGTGTAGGGCACTAGAATATACGGTCTGTACAGTATAAAAACCATTACGCCTATGGGATGTCCCCACTTTTCACAAAAACAAACCTGTGTGTGTGTCTGTGTGTATGTGTGCGTTTTTGTGACATATGAGCAGGGCCGCATTAACCATTGGTCTAGGCGGGGCTGAAGCCCCAGAGCCTGAGCAAGGAGGGGGCCCGTGATTGTCTGTGGAGTAGATCGCCAAAACCCCACCACGCCCCTCACTTTTCCGTAAATTCCATGAATTCCCATTAGAGATTAAAACGTCACATTTGAATTTGGCAAATGCGTGCGTTAAGACGGTTTCTGACACTTGCTCGTACAGCGCCTGACTAAACTAAGAGTTATTTTTCGCGCCTTGTGAAACGTTCGAATACATATAGTTATGTGTCAAAATGCCTGTCAGGTATTTGTGTCTTAAATGAACATTAATAGTTAAAAATAAAGCATGTGCACTAGTTGGCTATTATGCGATACTGGCATTATATGATGCGATTTTAAAGGGATATTCACTCAAAAATTTTAATAATGTCATCATTTACTCAGTTTCAAGTTGTTCTGAACCTGTATACATTTCTTTGTTCTCCTCAACATAAAAGAAGATATTTTGAAGAATATTCGTAACCACCAGAAAGTTTCTGGTCCCTGTTGACTCCAATAGTGTTTTTTTCCCTCCATACTATGGAAGTCATGGGGGCACAGACACTGTTTGGTTACCAGTATTGTTACAAATATATACGTTTGCATTCAACAGCAGAATGAAACTCATTCAGGTTTAGAACAACAACAATATAACTTAAATTTTTGGGTGAACTATTCCTGCAAAGCAGCTTAATATAGCTGCTCTTGCCATTTGTGTCAATAATGTAAATTAAACATTAGAAAGAAAATCACTCACTGTCCTTGACCGAATCGCTTTTGTAAAATAATGTATATTGAATTTACACAGTGAAGACTATTCAGTTTTTGTAGTCTATTTATTTTATACAATCTTATTTGCTTAAAGTGCTTTAAGTGTTTGTAGGTCAATTTCTTTGTTCTATTGTAATTCATGACTGTTTACTTGTCTTCAGTAAGTTTTTTTTATTTTTGTAGGTCAATTTCTTTGTTCTATTGTAATTCATGACTGTTTACTTGTCTTCAGTACGTTTTTTAATTTTTTTTATTTTGAGATATTGGAATTGGTAACAAGAATTATGAAACTTTGATTGGATAAAAATCCTATGTTAAGCTATATCATTATTGTGATGGGGGGCCCTGCAGTAAGTCATTACTGACTAAGTTAAGGCCCATTGAGGTCTTATTGCAGCCCTGCATATGAGGACACACATTTGTATAATGACATGGGTATGACATAGGTATTACAAGGAGAAGGTGACTTATGAGGACATAGCCCCATGTCCCCATTTTTCAAAACGCTTATAAATCTTACAGAGTGAGTTTTTTTGAGAAAGTAAAAATGCACAAAGTTTCCTGTAAGGGGTAGGTTTAGGTGTAGGGTTGGTGTAGGGCAATAGCACATGCAGTTTGTACAGTATAAAAGCTGTGTCCCCACAATGTCCCCACAATACACAAAAACAAACCTCAGTATAAAAGCTGTGTCCCCACATTGTCCCCACAATACACAAAAACAAACCTGTGTGTGTGTGTGTGTGTGTGTGTGTGTGTGTGTGTGTGTGTGTGTGGCTCTGTGTTTCCAGTTAAGAGTCTATTGACTCATCCTTGTTTGTCTGGCCTTTTATTGATAATCACTTCTCCCCCCATATCCATCCCATAATCCCCTGCTGTGCTGAGGTGAAGTTTCAGAGGGGAGAACAAGACATCACCTTCACCAGCTCAATACATGACAGACAGAGAGCTAGTCTCTACAGGCCTCTGGAGGAGACTAAGATCAGAGAAGATCCTCAAAGATTCAATTTATAGTTAACAGGCAGAGAAAGACAGACCGATATTAAACGGGAAGCATGATTTAGGAGCTGAGTCACTGGTTACATGCAGAAAGCAGGGATAATAGTGTTGTTGCTTACTTGTTTGGAAAATGTTTAGCCTAACCCTTTGACATTTTATCTTGGACACGTCAGCAGTCATGACCTGTCAGTTAAATTTATGAAACCAAGCTGAATACTATCAAACTAGAAAACATTTATTTTAGTTTAGTTTAGTTTAGTTTAGTTTAGTTTAGTTTAGTTTAGTTTAGTTTAGTTTAGTTTAGTTTAGTTTAGTTTTGTTTTGTTTTGTTTTGTTTTGTTTTGTTTTGTATAGTCAGTATTTGATATTTATTTTAAAATTCAAATTTCTCCTATTTTTATATTTAGATTGTTTTCCATTATATAACACCCAAATCATAAAATTAATAAAATATTTTAAAATATTAAAATTAACTTTCATGCTGAACATCATGACACTGAGATGCTTAAATTCACTTGATTTTAGTTTTTAGTGTTTTATTTTGTATGTATTTATGAATACTAGTATAGAATAGAAATACTGCAAATTGATTTTAATATCAGCCAACATCAAAACAATTTTTGGCCTTTCTGTATGAGCAAGAATTTTAATATCAGTGGATCTTTAATAATAAATATTACTGTAAATGGAAATGCTGTATCATTAACGTTTCTCAAATATTGGGGGCATGAACCATTATTATGTGGCCCTGCCCACATGCTATGATGTCACACATCAGCATTTATAGTTTTATTTATGTATTTATGTTTGCCTTTTCTGTGCTAAAATATAAATGAAACTGTATGAAAGTCATATGGTTTTCAAAAGATATGAGGGTGAGTAAATGAAGTTTTAGGTCTATCCTTTTAAGATTTTTCAGATTTTACATTTATTGCACATTAGTATTTAATTTGCCTCAGTTAATAAATTGCATGTGATTGAAAAAGTCAAATATAAAAGATTTTATAGAGCTGAATATGAAATGGTTACATACAATCAGAGACCCTTAGCCGTGGCCTCTCTGTTGGAAAATGCCCATTCCTGTTCTAATTGGTACTCATCCAGCACAGTGTCCTTTCGTCCGGCTGTTTTAATTAATCCTGTGTGTACTGTACATTCAACAGGCAAGATGAGTAAAGATACTATTCCTTCAGGAGAGGTTAAGGATGTGCTTTGCACATTCTTTATCCTAATTTAACACCCTCACGGTCACAATACAACAGCAGCCCAAGGAAAAAGGAGAGACAATGGAGGAGTTACACAATAAGGAAGGAGTTCACGAGAGAAAAAGGGAGATTGAAACTTTCCTTGTCCCCAACTTCCTTCCTCGCACGGACACTTAACATTTACACAGGGAAATGATGTCAGACACGTTGAAGGTTATCACAAGTTATGACTAGCGAAATAACCAGAATCTAGTGGAACACACAATATACAATAAACCACCCAATAACGCTGTTCTGCCCTTTAGAAGGTCACTTGAGGATGTAGGTGGACTATATTTTGTTTTGTTTTCATCTATGCCACTTTTGGGTCCTCTCATTATGCTACATGCATTACGATTTTCATAATATTTAATTTATTTGATCACCTTCTGGTTTCTCTTCCCCTGTAAACTTTGTTTAAAAGATGATTCATTTGTCCAAACCCAAGCCTATCTAGTCTACTTTTTTAGGTATTCCTGATACTTTTCCACAAAATTATGCCTAGATACCTAATCTTGACCATTTGTTGATAAGTCAATACCAGAATGCATTGTGTTGAGGTCTGTTTATTCAAACATTCATAATTATTCATTTAACTATGACAGAGCTAACAAAGGAAAATGTTTGATTATATTTTATTAGAAATATTTTATATTCCTATTTCGTATTTTACATACGGAAAATAATAGGAAGCTTCATCCAATTAAAAATTACATTTCACCCAACTTTGCCATTAGAAATGCTATTTTGCTATTAGAAACAATTGTGAAATTAGTAAAAATGTTGTACATCACATAATGAGTGATTTTGGTATACATGTAGAGTTCTTAATTTCAGTCATAACCCTGTTATGTGCAGGGTTATTATCATTAAGTAAAATTAAAACCATAAAAAAAATTATTTCTTGGAAAAAAATTATTTCTCTGTACAGTTTAGGTATAAAGTACTGAAATAACCAAAACTAAATAAACTAAAAACAAAAATGTAATACTATATAAAAAATATAAAGATATATTTAAAAAAAAATTAAATGACAAAAAGCACAACATAATTGTGCTTTTAAAAAATTACTAAAACTTGAACTAAAATTAAAATAAAAGCAGAAAATATAAAAAAACTCTAATTCAAAATATTAACAAAAACTATATTAGTATACTAAAATAACACTGATTATGAGTTTCCACTTTAGTTGCCTAATTAGACAGTTCACATCAAGTTTTGAAGTCAGCCACATACTGAAAGTGTTCATGAAAATAAAGCCACTCAACTCATACTACTTTCTATTTTTCAACACACTGAGCACATGCAAGGTCTGAATGGGGGGGTTTTAGGACATGTGTGCCCCTCCAACTCTCATCTTTCATATCCCAAAGATTTGATTTTTCCCTTTAAAGCCACAGCTTAAGAATGAAATGAAAGCTGCTCTTCTTCATGTGGTCGTGATATGTTTCTGGAGATATGCCCTCTTGCAGAGTCACTCTCTTAGACCATGATTTTGAAGTGTGTGAGATTGTATACACCAACATATGCACATGCAAAAGAAAAAGAAAATGCATCAGAAAACTTTATTGGCGTTTAGAAAACAACATCCAGGCGTGATGTTTTCAAGAGGTCTTTCTTGTAGGGTTGTAAGGCCAGAACAAAAGCCTGTGTGACACATTTCTGTTTTGCTCAGAGTCCATTAGAGTTTAAAGAGCCTGAAATAGAAGTGGCTAAATTGCTCTTTGCCTTTGTATCCAGGATGTTTATTAGGAGGTGGATGTGAATAAATCTTTGTGGATAGCCGTGATTGGAGGGGTGGAGTTAGGACAGAGGAGGCAAGTAAACTGATGCAGGAAGTTTGGATTTGTGCTTTTAGCACAGCCTTATGGAAAGGTGAGCTTTATGATAAAGCCAGAGCAAAGTCGTGACACGTACCTGAATAAAACGGGTCGTGCTGTGCTATTAGTTGTCCAGTGACAAAAGTACATGCAAAAACCAGTATATGGAAATATATTATAAACTGTTATTTTAGAAAGTGTAAAATTAAGTTTTTTTTTTACTATATATATATATATACTATATATATATATATACATATGTGTGTGTGTGTGTATGTATGTGTATATATATATATATATATATATATAAATTTGTAGTTATTAAAAAAATTGTCACCATTTCGTTTATTGAAATCATGTTAAATTTGTGAAGTATTTAATTTGCATTGGGATTACATGAATAATTTTCATTGGTCATAATCAAATGCATGGAAATACTGATCCAGACAGTTGGAAATGGATTAAAATTGTATTATTATTATTATTATTATGCCTATGAAATGTATTTAGTACACTACTATATTAAAATATAGATATTTATTTATGTCTTGTATGCCAGGAAAAAAGCTCTGTAACGAATCAGCTCATGATTAATATGAATAACTAACCATAACATAATTATGTTGGCGTATAAGATAACACATACTTTGTGGATAATAAGACAATCCCAGAACACGATGTGACAAGAAAGTTTTAGAAAGGTTTGGCCTTTCTAAAGGCTAAAACCTATGGAGTCTATGGAAATATCAAATGCATTTTATTTGGAACTGAAACATTTTAATTGATACAAATATATAATCTTAAACTGATTGTTCACAAAATATTTGTGTGCTATATTTTTGTATTTCTAGAGTATCAAGTCATTAGCCTAGCGTTGATAACATCAGATACAATCATTATGTCTAACAGTCATTATTATACTGATATATTATTAAAGTGTTTATTTAATAATTTGTCTATTTTTATATTAATATTTAATTTTTGAATTAATTTGATCATATTTTAATTTTGTTATATTAATTTAATTTTATAATTTGATGTTGTTTATTTTGGCCCTTAACAGTCCCTCATCACTATGAATTATGTTGTTGTATGGCATCGCTACAGAAAAAATAATAGCAAGTAGGTTTGGAACAAAATGAGTAAATAATAACAGAAATTTCATTTTTGGCCGAACTCTTTCTTTCAGCATGGTCTTTTGTGATGATGGTGTGTAGGGGACCACAAAATGCAGTGCAGCTTCAGTTTTTGGCAGCATCAACATTTTGCTCTGTTGAGGGCACTTTGCTCTCTAATCTCTTTCTCCCTGGGAAAGGGAACATGAATGAGAGAGTGGGCATGTTTATAAAGGTGCTCTGGTACACTGTGTGCTTGGACAATCTTCTTTTTTTGTGAGTGTGTATGAGTGAGTCACACATTCTCTCATGAAGTTTAAGGTTTCATGAATATGGGCTGAAAATCATCTGGAAATAGTCTGACAGAACATCCTGAACGCATTGTAACATTTTGTACATCAAAACACGATGATGACAACAACAATAACAATGCTTGTTTTCTCTCTTTACAGACAGCATTGAAGACTACATTCAGACCACCTCATCACACGTGGAATCAGCCAATCAGGAGCTTGCAAAAGCCAGTCATTATCAGGTATGTTATTGACTTCTTGGAAAGCTATTGCTTTGATAGCTGCATTAAGGTACACAAAAAGCAGTTTGGTATGTAAACAGAGTCTCTCTGAAACAGTCTATGAACACAATTATTGTAGCAGGTTTGTTTATTAGTTTCAGTTGACATCACACAGTGAGATTTTCAACATGCTGTCATTCATTAGCTGCTCACTTCAGTAATCACCCTTCACCAATTACCTGACGGGTAGACCATAAGTCATTGATTGTTCTCAAGCTCTGTTTAAGTATTGTGCGTGTAGAAACAAAATGGCTGTATTACAACTTTGTTTACTCTGATGCCATGCATGTCATAATTGGCACAGTTAGTGGACTTTTTGTAATCAAAAATGACTTTCATTCAAAATATTTCTGTCATGACAACTCTTGGAGTGTTTAGCATGGTAACAGACATTGCAATGTTAATGTGTTTGGTTTTGGTAGCATAGATCTGCTATGCTGCTGCTGCTGTGGCAGAGCAAGTACAGAGACTTGCTACTGCAAATACATCCACAGATATGCTGCTGTGAGCATGTAGGAAATACTGCTGCACATAGGGCATATATGAAATAGTCCCTGTGTATAACTTACATGAAATTACCCTGTAGCAGATCTATACAGGTGGAGCTGGGGATGGTGGAGGATTTCTGAAACGCGCTGCAACTGCTACAGCAAGCACTAGCCAAGTATTTGAATGTTGAGCAGCAAGCTCATTGGCTGCTGATGTGAAAAGAAAGCTTCCCCATTTGAATGATGATGTAATTAGGTCAGATTGAGTTAGAACTTGTCGGCTTGCACCATCTAGAGTTTCATGACAGAACTTGGTATTTATTTCAAACCTATGTTGCTAGTGCCAAACTCAGCTTTAACATGATGGATCCAAACTCTGATACATATGATAAATTAGTTATTAAATGTGCAGTAATACACTTTCCTTTTGTGTTGCCGCATTTTATTGCTTATTGAACAATTTTTGACAATTTTTATCTTAATTTTTGTCACCTAAGAGATGGAAAGGTAGTGGTAGAAGTAAAAAGGACATCATTAAAATAGTCCATGTGACATCAGTGGTTCAACTGTAATGTTATGAAGCTACAAGAATACTTTTTGTGTGCAAAGAAAACAAAAATAACAACTTTATTCAACAATTTATTTTCTTCCATGTCAGTCTTCGACACTCGTTCATGAGAGTACCACAATGTATCATTATGGTGCTGCTGACACAGGAGCCGGCGTTCTATTTTCTTTTCTATTTTCTATTTTCTTTGCGCACAAAAAGTATTCTCGTAGCTTCATAACATTATGGATGAACCACTGATGTCACATGGCCTATTTTAATGATATCCTTACTACCTTTCTGGGCCTTAAACGTGTTAGTTGCGTTGCTGTCTATGCATCATATCAAAAATATTTTACCATACTTATACTTTTACTTTTTTTTATTTTTATTCCTGTCTGATTAGAGCAGTTGGTGTTTAAATGTGGCCTTTCACATAGTTCCTGTCTGGGATTCACACACAGTTTGTGTGTGGCAAAGCAATGTCCCAAACGGGTGCTTTAGCATTCCTCTCTTGGCCGTAGTTTTCTCGCCTCTTCCTTCCTCCACTTACAAGAGTGCAAGGGAGTAAATGAGTGAGTAGCAACAGCTTTTGGATTAATTGTCATTTCATTAACTCAAGGAGAGCTCAGCCGTGACCAAACTCACGCAGAGCAATTTAGCACTTCGCCAGTCCTGCTGCCGCCCACCCTGAGGGGAGGAGGGAAGCGCCTGGCTTAGGGCGCTACCCTGTTTCTTTTCAAACATCTCCCATAAACCCACACTGTTGAACATTACACACACAAGTCAATTAAAAATAGCAAGTCATTTTCTTTCCATGGACCAAAATGTCAGTTAGCCGAACGCAGGAAATAGATGGAATCTATAATCCATCAAGCCAAAAGCAGTTCCTCTCCACCCATGGAAGGTCTGTAAGTGACAAGAATGATGTTGTATCAGCCCCATCAGAGTTCAATGGAGCATGATGGAACATGATTGTTCATTACCATGCTGCTGCTCCAAACTCTAAACTCAAATGAACAGACACTGAAGAGAGTTCACACCATAATACACAGACTCCAGACTTCATTTACCATTACTCATTTTCTCACTCTCTCCATTACAAGCTCCCCTTTTTTTTTTTTTTTGATGTGGAAAATTGCTTTACTGGGCACTCTTAACTAAGTGAACCTTAGATAAGTTTATTCAATTCAGAGCAAAGGTCAGTGTTTTACAATTATGTCCCTTTTCCTGTAAGTAGAAATACTGCATTCTTAATTGGACAAAGTTTATAATTGACTAACGTACATTTAAACAAAATATTTTTTGTGCAAATATTTCTGAGACACAGGAGAGCCTTTGTGTGTCTCTGAGGTAGACCTAGCAGTGGTGTTTCATTCCTGAATTAATCCTTTTTTTTCGTATTCTTGTACAAATCATTTGAACAAAAGCTTCAATGACGGAAATACAGTCGATTGTTTTGTTACTGGTAGAATGAGCAATTTTGAATGACTCCGAATGAATCAATGACTGACTGCATATACTATATGTCACTATACTCATATAAATAAACATTATCATTAAAAGTTTCATTAATTAATTTATTATTATATTTTTATTGATTTTTTTTTTTAATAGAAAACTCTTATTCTCACCAAAGCTGCATTTATTTAATCCAAGAACTGCAATATTTTAAAATATTATTAACATTTAAAATAACAAATTTCTATTTTAATATATTTTAAAATGTAATTTACTCCTGCGATGACAAAGCTAAATTCTCAGCAGCCATTACTCCAGAGTCCAGTCTTCAGTGTTGCATGATCCTTCAGAAATCATTTTAATATGCTGTTTTGGTGCTGAAAAAAACATAAATTATTATCAATTTTAAATACAGTTTTGCTGCCTAATATTTTTTGGAAACCATGATACATGTTTTTCAGGATCCTTTGATTAATTTGAAATATATATATTTTTATTTTTTTGTAACAGTGTGAAAGTCTTTACAGTCACTTTTGATAGTATAAAAGAATGTGTGTATAAAAATAAAGTGTTTTTTTAAAGTGTGAGAAAACATATGATTAGTAAATAGCTTGCTATAGCGTGCATGATAAACAAAAAAGAAAAAGAAAAAAAACCCTCCTAGACCATAATACAGGCAAACATATGTGTACTAGAAGGGACATAGTAATCTAGTAAAAACCAATAGTTTAACCACTGTTGTGCAACAAATGTATTAGCATTTTTCACAGATTATTGCTTACACATTACTCATATCTGGTGTGTGGAAAATGTATTTGTTTGAGTGTGTGCGCATGTGGACTCTGTTAGGCTGTATTTACAGTATGTCAGTTGGATGATCTTGTGGCCCGTAGAGTGTGATAGTGAGCGGGGTGTTGGATTATTATTTGCTATCTGCTTCTACGAAAGCCACATGCTGTCCCGATTGCACTGAATCCATGCAGACCAGACAGCTTATTTGTGTGCCCAGAGCAGATTCACTGCTTCAACATACCCTCCATAACCCTCCCTCCCTCCCACACACCCACACACAAAACCATAAGAGAGCCAAAGCGTGATCTAAGGGGGCCGAATTAAATTAAATTTATTAGTATCACTGCTACTGTTTTGGATACTTAGGGTTGGGGACTTGATGATACCTTAAATCACGCAGTTTGTTGAGGAGAGGAGTGCTGTTACTTTTCTGAGTGCTCAGACTTTTGATTTTTGCCTAGTAGACAATAAAATGGGCAAACAATTAATTGACTTATAGTGAATAAGATCCTCCACTGAATCCAAGATCCTCTGCAGTGAATGGGTGCCATCAGAATGAGAGTTCAAACAGCTGATAAAAACATCACAATAATCAATAAGTAATCCACATAACTCCAGTCCATTGATTAACGTATTGCAAAGTGAAAAGCTGAGTGTTTGAAAAATAAAATCCATCATTAATGCATTTTAACTCTAAACTGGCGCTTCTGGACAAAATATGAGTCCATAATTCATAGTAACTCTTCCCCCACTGAAAAAGTCCATCCCGTGTTGTCATTTCACATCAAAATCCACCAACATACGTATTTGTCTAGAACTGTTCTGGACTGTTTTCACTTGTAAACAGTGCTTTATTTGTGCATATTTCTCCCCTGAATCAGATGAGATGGCTTTTTCACTTGAGAAAGCAATATTATTGACAGAGGACCGAAGTTAAAAAGATCTTAATTTTGATTTCAAATTTTGACTTAATTTTTTAAGTACAAACACGCAGCTTTTGTGGATTATTGTAATGTTTTTATCAGCTGTTTCAGCTGCTCTCATTCTGACGGCACCCATTCATTGCAGAGGATCCACTTGTGATGTAATGCTAAATTTCTCCAAATCAGTTTTGATGATGAAACAAACTCATCTACAGTACTTCAATGCCCTGAGTAAACTCTCAGCAATTTTTTTGGGGGGTGAACTATTGCTTTAAAAGCTACTTGGAACACCTTAAAAATCACATAGCAATGCCCTGACAAAATTGTTTAATGATGAAGCATCACTCGCATTTTTCTCCGGAATGTGTAAAATGGATTTACATTCAGTATTTGAATTAGCGGTGCATTTTCTATTCTCTTGTTGTTTAAAAATTGGTGCAAGAATAAAAAAATGCCTGTTCTGTAGTTTACTCATTCTTTGCAAGTGTAATTCTCCTCATGTTGAAAGTTTGTCAGGTTTATTTAATGAATGCAGAAAGCAGCTGATCAGTGCTGTGTCATGCTGTGATCAGGCACAGCAATGCAAATCAATCATGCAGTGTAATTTAGGTAATGGTGATGAATGGAGTTTAGCTGGTGGTGATGACTGCCACATAGGCCTGTCTGTAATATTGGAGCTGAAGTGGAATGAATATGTATGTGAATGAGGGGATGTTGTGGAGAGTTTAGCACAGGAGCATTATTCTCCATGAGTTGGAATGTGGCAACTGGCCAACTTGCCAAAGTCGCTGCTGCTAATGCTACCCTACTGTACAGTACTACGATACAGTGATTAAATCATAAATTAGACTTAGGGTGAAAATTCATGTTGACTTTGAAGTTTAAAGATTTTTTACTAATTACTGGTCCATTTATTATATAATTATTCTTAATGACTTATTAAGGAAAGTTGATACAAAATGCTGCCTTTTTAAAATGATCAACAACAAACTTTTCATTAACTGTCCCTGAACAATTATTTTAAAGCAGCTGCTTCAATCTCTGCTTTACAAAAAGTGTAATTCAAACATTTGGCAGTCTAGACACATCGAAATAAAATAATTTGCTCATCCTCTCAGATTTATGTAGGGTGGCAGGATCAAGGTGCAACTTTAAAACCTTTCTTGTTCATCTGTAACGCTTTCTTCCATGGAGCTTTCACACACTTGTGAACATCAGCCTGAGGCAGAGAAGGACTCGTGTTTGCCAAAGGCTAAACTGCAAAGTGGGGACCTCAAGTTCCTGTTTATTTGCTGTGTCTTTTAAACATCATAATCAGGAATACTTGGATTCTGAATTTTTATGTAAATTGCGCGTAAGCCGATTACAAGCCAGGCAGTGGCAGCGCAAACATTATTTATTTTATGGACCTTCAATTTTCTGAGCAGATGAGATAAAGGCAGAATAATATTATGTGGGTAATCATCATGCTGCGTTATTATGAAATTATAAAGACATTTCTCATGTCACACAAGGGAAATGATTCTCTCCCCCTCTCTCTTTCTCTTAAAACCAATGTCATTCTGTTTCTTGTGAAAATTTGATGTCCACCTATGTGACTCAAATGCGTTAAAGTGAAATTTGCTGCATTGTTCAGGGTTTGTTACAGGAGTTAATTTAGTTGAGTTTCCGGTGCAGAGGTTAGCAGATATGGTCCACCCTTTTTCATGGCTGGAAATCCATTTGTGGTCACATGACAAGTTTGTCCAGCAGAAATATTATGTTGCATATGCCCTCATGTAATAGTCTATTACAAGTGGGAAAATTTACAGTTTTCCACATGTTAAATCTAATGTGGAATCATACTAATTCAGGAAAAAAGACCAAGAATTAAATCACCTCTTGAGGTGGTTCTCCCATCCAGCCACTAGGTGACTTGAATAGTAAAGTAGTTCCAACGCTATCTCACGACCAGTTCGTATGTATTTTACGAGGTGGCTAACCTCACTCGTACGATTTTGTACAATACGCGACGGGTAGGTTAGGGGCAGGGTTAGGGTTAGGTCAATTCTTACAAACTGGGAAACTCTTAAAATAGTTACAATTTAGCAAAAGTCGTATTAATTTATACCCCGTAACATATATATGAAATGCCATGAGATCGGGTTGGTAGTTCTGATAAAGCTCATAACAATTAAAGGGATAGTTCACCCAAAAATACTGTTACAATTTAATCACACATGAAAGGCTTTCTTTTGTCAGCTTAATAAACAAAAAGCACTCGTGTCATGTCAAGGCAAAAATGTGACAGGATGTTTCTAATTTAGACTACCTCAATTTTATTTAATTGAAATAGATTTTTTATTTTAACTGGAATTGAAAACATATTTACAAAGGACGCAAAAAAATTGGTCACAAGTGACAGTAAAGACATTGCTAATAAACTCTTTTTACTTTTCCTTTCTTAAAATTATACTGAAAAGAAAAGTATCATGGTTTCATCAAACATTATATCAGCACAACTGCTTTAAATATCGATAACAATAAGAAATGTTTCTTAAGCACCAAATCAGCATGTTAAAATGATTTCTGAAGGATCATGTGAAACTGAAGACTGGCCTTAAAATAGTTACAATTTAGCAAAAGTCGTATTAATTTATACCCCGTAACATATATATGAAATGCCATGAGATCGGGTTGGTAGTTCTGATAAAGCTCATAACAATTAAAGGGATAGTTCACCCAAAAATACTGTTACAATTTAATCACACATGAAAGGCTTTCTTTTGTCAGCTTAATAAACAAAAAGCACTCGTGTCATGTCAAGGCAAAAATGTGACAGGATGTTTCTAATTTAGTAAAACATATAAATTGTTTGAGACTACCTCAATTTTATTTAATTGAAATAGATTTTTTATTTTAACTGGAATTGAAAACATATTTACAAAGGACGCAAAAAAATTGGTCACAAGTGACAGTAAAGACATTGCTAATAAACTCAGTTTTTTTACTTTTCCTTTCTTAAAATTATACTGAAAAGAAAAGTATCATGGTTTCATCAAACATTATATCAGCACAACTGCTTTAAATATCGATAACAATAAGAAATGTTTCTTAAGCACCAAATCAGCATGTTAAAATGATTTCTGAAGGATCATGTGAAACTGAAGACTGGCAAAATTATGCTGAAAATTCAGACATATAAAATAAGTTTAAGATATATTTATTTATATTATTTTAAATTGTGATACTATTTCACAATATTACTGTTTTTAATATGTTTTTGGTGAGCCTTGGTGAGCATGAGACTTTTCAAAAACATTAAAAAATTAAAAATTACCAACCCCAACATTTTGAGAAGTAGTGTATGTTTGTACACAATACAATATGGTATAATTTGCATTTCTCTACAATTCAAATCAAAGTCAAAAACTTTAAGAACTAAATCAAAGCTTCTAATGAAATCATCAGTGCATATTCATACAGTACTTTAATCATTTATAGGACTACCCTTTGAAAAACTTTTTCAATATCAAGGTGCTTTAGTTTTAGTGCTTCTACAGCAGCTCGGCTAAATTGGATACATGGAGAGAGAGAAAATTCATTTCCCTTTTCCTTTTCTCTCCTCTCGCCGGCACTTCACTCCATCAGCTTTCTTTTTATCCTTAAGTCATTTTCGCTTTCTCTTTCTCACTCTGTGAACGTCTGCACTCTCCATCTCCACCTCACTTCCCCACCGCAGCATCAGGAAAAATTCAAGCTCCGAAATGGAGCAACAGTTGTATTGTCACCTAAAGCTTTTTTGTTCCCTTTTTACCTGATTTATTTTCCTGTTTTCTCTGAATGACAGAGCATGCCCGGGATAACACAGAGTGAAAATCAGCGCCGAGAGACTGTATGCTGAGTGATAGAGCAAACTGGGGGAGAGAGAGAAAGTTTATAAGACGCGGTTTTGGAGAAATGTAAGAAAGAAGCAAGGGAATCTGTGGTGACCAGCTGCAAGAGAGGAGATAGCAGAGAGAGGCTTTTAATTCCCAATTCCTACAGAGCCTTTGAAAATTACCAATCTTCTTATCACAGACGCATTGGCTGCTTATGCAAATTGTTGTGGAGTGGAACGTTTAAACGGAAAATTACTCGACAGCAGTTTTTTTTTCTCCCTCCCTCCCCCCCACATGCACACTTCCACATAGAAAGCCTGTTTCCAGTCTCAGATAAGAAGATGAATTGATCTTCGTGCTTTGAAGCACGTCAGGGTTTAAAGACTCCAGCCTAGCTGTGGTCTACGTCTGCTGCTCTTTCTGGCTTTGTCAAAAAAAAAAAAAAAATTATGGTGAATGGGGAAGGGCATTTCAAAACAACATAGAATCTACGCTTCCAAATGTCGGAGTTGCCCGCCGAGTCGTAAAAATTTATATTGAAACGCACTCAGCAAGCAAATTCCATTCACTGTTGTTTATTATTCCCACACTTGTTTGTTGCGTTGGTTCTAAACTGGATCTTAATTTCTCAACACGACAAAGCAAAAGATCCGCAGGGGGGTTTTGGTCTTAGATGTTGAAAGTCCAAATGACACTTTCGGCAGTTTTCCAAAATTCTTTTGAAAACAGAGCAGGGCTTCCTCCCACCGCAGAGCCTTATCAGAGGCGAAGAGCGTCAGAGAGCCAGATGGGTTTTGCGGACGCCGTTCAGCCAGAACTCGAGAGCGTCTGAGAATGCGGCTCTCTCATGCTTGGCCAACAGCTCTTGACTCTAGGCCACAATTCAATTCTGTCTGTGAGAAATCATTTTCAAAGCATGTCTCTGTATTGAGGAGAGAGCCTATAGAGGTCAATTGATGGCAGCACCTTCATTTCGTATTGTGGTATTGCATCGGTGGCGGGAACCTGTTTGGAAAATTATGGTGTAATTTTGTTCTTTTATTCCATGCGAGTCCTTTTGTACCTAGAAGGGCCGTTCGTACTGGATAATGACTGTTGATTTATTGATTTTTAACAGTGGCGGGCAACCGAGAAATAATTTATTATATAGATTTTTTTTTGTGTGTACAAATCTATTTGACTCACGAGTCTCGCTTTTGTTATTAGTTTATTAAGATTATGCTGCTGGATGCTGTCTGAATGCATTTTCAGTCACTATCGCCCCCTACTCATCAGACACTACTAACCTAACTTAACTAGTATTTTTGGTATCTTGATAGTAGCTCACTGTTTTTGTTATTTTTGCATAAATCAGTCACCCACATGTTGTTTTAAAACTGTATGTATTTCTTTCTTCAGTGGAACACAACATAACAGAACATTGATGCTGCTCCAATGAAAGTGAATGGTGACCAGGGGTTGTCAAGCTCCAAAAATCTTCTGAAGTCATATGATAGATTATGATAATTGTCTCCCCTGCAGATCACAACACACCAAATTTGAATATATGCATATTCAAATATAGAAATAAGATTTGAGAGCTACAATGAAAAAGAATATTTTCAGGCAATCTATGCATGGCTTTAGAAAATCTAGGGCATGTTGTTGTATGGAATACCTTATAGATTTATTTATTTATTTATTTATTGAGTATGAAAGCCCCTGGTCACCATTCACATCGGAAATGAGCAGCATGAACATTCTCCCAAACATCTCTTTATTTGTGCTTAACAGTGGGGGGGGTTCTTGTAAACTATCATTATACCTAATCATACAGTAATATCTCCCTTTTTCTTCTTTATTCTGTCTTCCAGAGCCAGCTGAGGAGGAGGAAATGTTATCTGCTAATCGCTGGAGTGCTGCTTCTTACTTTGCTTATCATCATTATTGCAGTCTCAGCCAGAAAATGAGAGCAAGACCACAGGTGAGCTACATCTGGTGTGCCCAGCCTTTAATAAAAATAACAACATCAAAAAGAAAGTGAGAAAAAAAATACTGTAGGGACAACACAAATCAACAGTAATTATAACTTAATTTTTAAGCAAATGTATCAAATATGTGTGTGAAAATTATATTATTATTTATTCCTATCTTAATAATAATTATAGTTATTAAAATAATTATTATTAAAAATTGTTGCCAGGTTTTTGAAGAGAAAGTTCTTTATTTGAAACATAAAGCTTTTGTAACATTATATATATATATATATATATATATATATATATATATATATATAACACACACACACACAGACACACACAGACATACACTTTAGAAGAGCAGAATCAGCTGCATAACCACGCCTCTGTAGAACATAGAGACAGTTCACCCAAAAACCATTTATTCACTTACCATTTACTGACTTCCATTCATCTTTGAAACATAAATGAAGATGTTACGTTTGAGCATGTTTGTATCTGATGTGCCATGATCATGTTTATGTGTGAATAAAATATTTTAGTCTGTTCATCATATCAAGCAATCATGTCTCTTCAGAACTTAGCTTTCTTATAGTTACATACATATATATATATATATAAATCTTTCACTTTTGTCTAAATTAATGTGTCATTTCATTTAAATATAGAGTACTTGTCAAATGTTTGGAAACATTATGAATTTAAAAAAAAATGTTTTAATGAAGTCTCTTATTCTCACCAAATCTACATTTATTTGATCCATTTATTCTGAAGGATCATGATGAAGACTAGAGTAGTAATGCTGAAAATTCAGCTTTGTATCACAGGAATAAATTACATTTAAAAAGACATTACAGTAGACAATAGTTATTTTAAATTGTAATACTATTACTGTTTTTACTGTATATTTGAGCACATAAATTCAGCCTTGGTGAGTATAAGAGACATATATTTCAAAAACATAAAAAATAACAAATTATTACAAACTTTTGATCGGTAGTGTAGATATATAAAACATGTAAATACATAATTTAATACAATATAGATTTTTTTAATAAAAACATTTGCTTCACTTTTATTGATTGATTGGATTGAATTTCGACTAAAGCAGGTCACCAATTGCCCTTTGTTTTAAACTTTCAGACAAAATCATCTGAAAAAAAAGGTGTCAAAACAATCTTGCTTACCTAATTGGTTCTTGACATTTGAGTAACCCGAACGGGCGTATCAGGATGCTATTTTTCACCACGAAACGCCAATGCGGTGAAAGCTCTTCAGACTAATATTTCACCCATGGGCAGCCTCTCTGAGGGGAGTGGGATTTTATCAGTTAGATGGATTACCTCCTCATTCATCTCTGAAAGGCCAACTGACAATTACACTCTTCTGTTATTCATTTATCCTCACAATCTACTTTTATTCGTTCATTGACTCATTCATTAGTTCATTGGTTTTTCTCATTCATCTATCTGTGAGGAGGAAGAGTGTTGGAAACTGGGTGAGGACTGACTCCATTTCCATGAAATGTTTATCTATGTGTTCGATCTCTCGCGGCCTCCTTCGGGGAGACGAAGCTGAGTGACAGCCTGGACTCCCTCTCATATCGATCCGTACCCTCTCCGCTCTCCCGCTTTTCCTCTGGCAACACGCACACACCTCCTTTTAAGCGCCGTGTGTGAAACTGAAAGCAGATAGCATCTTTAATTAAGTAGCTCTTAACTCGCATTTGTGAAATAGAGTGAAACAGGGAGCATAAGTTGTTTGAACTTCGGTGCTAAGATCTCATCTTTTACCAAGCGCTTGAGCAAATAAGAACAGTTGAGAGATTTCGTCACTAAAAAAATCACTCAACTCAAACACGCTCTGCTATATGCACTGTTCACAAATGGAGAACTCTTAAGTACTAATTGATGTAGAGATTTCAATATTCCATCGCTTCTGTTTTGACCTACAACTGTCTCATTTATGTGGTTATTATGTCTTTTCTAAATGAAATGCTAGATTTTCACTTAATTTCAGAAGAAACTGTAATGGTGGCCTTCTGTGCTGAAGGTGCTGCCATGTTATGTGGTTGCTATGATGTTCTGAGTGGTTGCTAGGTGGTTGTTCTCATTTCTGCATAACTTGGGTCCCTTTTTTTATAAGGATATTTCACCCAAAAATCTCATGCTGTTCCATACCTGTATAAAGGCCTTTCATACATGTGTTATTTTAGTATCAATGAGATACTATTATAGTTATATAGTCGTTATAGTTAAATATAGTTATATATTTTTTAATTATTATTTATTTTAGTTTTAGTTTTGATAAAAGTAAAAAAAATAAAATATCAATAAAGTTTTAATAATCATTCTAATTCTATAAGAATAGGAAGTCCACACCAAAATACATTATTACTATAATGATAACAACACTTTCAGAATCAGTGGAATCACTATCAGACCATGTTTTTAAGTTGATAAACAATATAAACATTGACAATCAGAATTTATCAAACTTTCAAGAGCCTTAACATTGGAAGCAGCAGATGACAGAACTGCAGTTCACACTAATAAACAGAACATTGTCATGCGTTGGTGTAGACGCTTATCTTTTTTTTAATTTTTGGTGTGAACAGGCCTTATCTTCTTGCAGTAAGCAAAAAAGAAAAAAAGATATATTTTAAATAATACTGGGGCACAAACAACATTGGACTCTACAGACTTTCACTGTATGGACAAAGAAACTGAAATATTACTACAATTCTAAATGTCTTCTTTGGTGGTCCACAGAAGAGATGCATACAGATTTGGAAAGACTTTTGTGAAAGACATATTTTTTTCCTTTAATTACATTATTAGCAGAGCTGTTTAGTTCATTCATCCCTCTGACTCATATTTTTTGCTCACCCCTCAATTCCCGATTAAGCACGTCTTTTATTTCTCAGGTTGACTGGATAACTGCTTTAAGAGACCCGTGTAGCAATGTGTACCAAATCATGTTTGCAGACCCTATGGTTTTTAGAGAAAAGAGTGGGGAAAGGGGGGTGGGTGGTGGGGGGTTTTCACCATAAGCTGCGCTGTTTGGTTCAGTGCCATAACAGACTATAAGCTCAGGAGAGCTTGCCAGCTTGTGTGCTAAGGACTGGCTCCAAAAGCTGCATAGATTTATAGAGAATTAACAACTCTGAATCTATGTAAACATGGGCCATTCGGTTCTGGTGAGACTTGTTTTTATTTCATACCCTGCACAGTTTGTGATTATTTCTTTCTATCTCCTTATAACCCCAAGCTGTTCGCAATGCACATTTTTATGGAAAATTAGGTGAAATGATCCCTGGGTGACAAACAGTACCTTAGACCCTGCTTAAACCTGATAGTAACATCCATTTCAGGTGGATGTTCAGGTAAGCAGACACTGCTAAATACAGGTGTAACATTTAGAGATTCAATCACTCAAACCATTATTTGAAGTGTAGTGTAAATGATACAAGGACCTCCTACACACCTGTCAATCATCCACTGAGTTCCTGAGAATTATTTATTGAAATATTTTTTTTTATTATTATTTATTGTAATTTCCCTCTTTTGATTTGTTTGTTTATCTATTTATCCACTTTGATAAATCTGAAAAAAACTGGATACATCTATTATTAAGTGTTTTACTGTTATTTCTTTATTTACTGAATTTATTTATTATACGTATTTTATGTTTCATATATATATATAGTATATATATTAGGGCTGTCGCGATTCGTCGATTTTATTCGACTATTCGACTTAATTTTGCTGGCGTCGACTAACCGGCAAAATACCGGAAGTGGCGCATTTCATGGACGAGAATGTATCCACCTTTTTCTTGTCGTAAAAATGGGCGCGGCCATTTGGAAAATATATGGGTATGGCTTCCGGTTTCATCTGCGTCCACTCCGTCCAGCTATTTTTAGCTGAGCAAAACAGTTCGTTTTGCTGCTTGATATTGAAAGTTGGTGTGTCTTATCATATTATTTTAATGTATTATCTGAAATTATGAACACACTGGTTTGTAGTGCAAACAGTTTTACCGTTTACTGCACGTTGTTATTCTCCTCGTTATTTACCTATAGCGGCTAATGAACCGGAAGTCTCACCCATAGGCTTACTTCCGCGATGAAGAAAAAGGTGGATAAAACACATGTTTAGTCTGTTCTCCAAGGCTGCATGATGTATTAAACCCATTTAAAAATAATTAAGCATAATTGTGAATTCACAAACGCTTTGATTTAATTGAATAATTATATGTGATGCAGTTCTAATACAGTATATGCGCTTTAATTATTTACATGCGTGTAGGTTAAGTTCATGCGTCACACAGCGGCTCCGTTCACAGTAGTTCCACAGGAACTGTTTTCATTTGCATGTGTGGAGCGTCTCAAACTCCATCTCTGCATGTTGTTGTGAGTTTGGGTTTATTATAACATTCATCTTGGAATGCAACATACGCCATTTCATCAGATTTGTAAGGTAAATCATTTATAGATCTATGCAAACACAGGAGAATGCATCGCGGTTTCAAAATAAAAGCTCAAACCCTCACTCTGAGTTTACACGTTTTGATGTCCACATATTATTTCAGTTACAGTGGCTGTAGCATTTCTGTCCTAAAGAAATGACCAAATATTAAAGATTAAGTGGACATTTGAGTGAAATAGTGCTTGGTTAAAGGGGTCATATGATGCTGCTAAAAAGAACATTATTTTGTGTATTTGGTGTAATGAAATGTGTTTATGCGGTTTAAGGTTAAAAAAACACATTATTTTCCACATACTGTGCATTATTGTTTCTCCTCTATGCCCCGCCTTTCTGAAACGTGTCGATTTTTACAAAGCTCATCGTTCAAAAAAAGCAAGGAGTGCTGGGATTGGCCAGCTATCCAGTGCGTTGTGATTGGCCGAATACCTCAAGCGTGTGACGGAAATGTTACGCCCCTTACCATATTGTGATGATGCCCTGTCAGGCCGGAGCGTTGATTCAAAAACATGAAAACC